CGCTGGCTTGCATCCATAGATGCTTCTCAAGCAAATCCCAGGACATCATTCTCCCCTTGTACTCGGCCTTGGTGAGGCCATAGTTGGAATACTGCATCCAGTTTTGGGCTCCACAATTCAAAAAGGATGTGGAGAAGCTTGAGAGAGTCCAGAGAAGAGCCACGCGCATGATCAGAGGTCAGGAAAAACAGACCTTACGACGACAGGCTGAGCGCCATGCGGCTCTTTAGCCTGGAAAAGCACAGGCTCAGGGGTGATCTGATGGCCACCATAAGTTTATCAGGGGTGACCACCAGTATCTGGGGGAACGTTTGTTCACCAGAGTGCCCCAAGGGATGACAAGGTCAAATGGTTATAAACTATTGCAAGACCGATTCTGGCTGGACATAAGGAAGAATTTCTTTACTGTCCGAGCCCCCAAGGTCTGGAACAGCCTGCCATTGGAGGTGGTTCAAGCACCTACAATGAACACCTTCAAGAGTAAATTGGATGCTTATCTGCTGGGATCCTATGACCCCAGCTGACTTCCTGCCCTTTGGGCAGGGGGCTGGACTCGATGATCTTCCAAGGTCCCTTCCAGCCCTAATGTCTATGAAATCTATTGCTGTAAATCACTTGGGGTGCCTGTTCACGAGCCATAATTACAGTATGGCGGAGCAGCCTTAATTAACTGAGTCTGCCAGAGTGTGGTAATTACTGTGATCTAGCCAGCCTCTGCGTCTCATATATCACCATCCCCACACTTCAAAATGGTGACAGGGTGCTTTAACTAAGCTCATTCAACAAGTTTTAGACAAAGTGCCTCTGCTGCCATTTTGGGGATGCTGATACACAAGATGCTCCAGGCACTTCAATTAGCGTGGCTCTTGGATGCCTTTCCAGACATCAAGATATGAATTGCCCTAATATACTCTGGCTTCTGCCAAAGCCCTAGTCCTGCAGTAGGTTATAGTCACACTGGGAGAACCTCATACAAAGAAGGTATATTCATAGATGTAACTGCAAGACCATGGTCTAAACCCATGCCAATGCATGTGGCTTAAATTTTTTAGAACTGCCCAAGTTATTCAGGGCAGTTTTTATGACAAAATGCATCTTACCATCCCTGTTCCAAAGACGGAAAAAAAAAATGCTTCTACCTAAGGTACCTCCATTTAAAAACAAACCCCCCCAAATCCACATTTCAAGATTTGCTGCTTATACAAATTTGAATCTTCTAGTATATAATGGACATGCTTAAAACAAAATTAAACAAAACATCATTCAGGTTTCATTTGTTTAAAGACTGAAAAGACTTCCTATTTTATGGGCCTTGCTTTAATAGGTGCTTATCAGATAAAAATACTCTGGAATGTGTTGATCTGAACAAAAATATTCAAATTTCTAAAATCATTAAATGCCTTTTCCTCTCGAATCAAAAATTTTCCTTTATGTGCATTTTAAATGTTGACATGCAGAAACAGAAGCAGCAGCCAAGTTCTAGAGACATACTATGGAATATCATTTTAGAGACTAATTACAAAAACTTGTTTGTTACTGGGTACTGAACTCCACTTACACTATAAATATTCCACACAGAAACCGAACAAACATCTTTTCAACCCTAGCCCACTGATGAAGTCAGGTAGGTTGCCAACATTCATCCTAAAGCTGTTCCACTAAGCCACAAAACAGATCTGAGTGCTCTGCTTGCACTTTTCTCCGGTATGGTCATTGCACCCACTTTTGATAATGTAACACTTGCGTATGCCAATAAGAGCTGGGACACTGGATTTTTGGTGATGTATTTGTTTGTTTTTAAAGGAGGTACTTAAGACCATACACAACTATAACTGGTGTCTAAACCTATCAAAGGAGGTTAAGGGAGCCCTTAAGAGCAAGGTTATCAGTAAGCTTCACCTCTGCAGCCTTAAGGTTTCAGTGCAACATTAGGAAGGGGATAATTCCTACAGAATTTACAGTAGGAAACACACAGGATATGGTCTGCATATGAAAAAGGGCTCTTATTGAGGCTTAGGAGTCAATAATCCTGTAGGTCTCCTAATCGAAATGCAAGCTGTTTCTAATAAATAGCCTTCCCTGCCTAAAAAAAAATATAAAACCAGTTTGAACTGGGGACACCAGTCTCTCCCTGTCCACCCCCGGCTCCCTCCGAACCAACCTGTTATTGTAAACTTGGGAGTTAATCGTCCAGCCATTTCAGAAGCATGACTAATAAACACAAGTTAGGAAAACACATCTAAAAGATTAAGTCTTTTTTGACCAGTCTTTCCTACTTGTAAGCAACCTGGTGACTCCAAACTCCCATGGAGACCCCACGGATGGTGCTGACACAAGTGCAGGCATGGCACACTGCAGCCCAGAACTCCTGAGTGCAAGAAATCCACCAGCCTGAGCCTCTGAAGCTTAGATTACAGGCACAAGTCACTGTTCCTGGCATTTTTCTTGAGCTTGTCTGGGTCTCTAATTACTGGCAAGGTTGCAACACAACATACCTCAGATGCACTCCAACGCTTTATCAGTGCTCCCCCCGCCCCCCATTTTGAAGCGTTTATACACCTACATATGCACATAAATCAGTGTTCTGCCCCCTCCCAAATCAAGCTGGAATAAGCACACTGAAAATGTAAACACTACAGCAAAACAACTCTGGGAAGGAGTTTTATCCTTCTAAAATGAAACAGGCAGAAGGGTGGTTCTAGCAGGCCTCAAGGCCTATAGGTCTAAGGTAATGCTTCTCAACCTTTTTTATACTGGGACCCATTTGTAGCATCGAGGGCCAGTCCCAACCCAGTGCCCCTCACTCTCAATCCAGTGTCCCCTGCCCTCAGCCCCGCAGTGTGTAGGGCAGGAGGAGCACCAAACAGCCCCTTGCAGGCTGGAACTCTGCCAGCCTGCAAGGGAAAAGCCAGTTTCCCATATTTTTCTCCTTGCCTTTTTAATGTTTGTTCACAACCCTTTCATATATTCTTGTGACCCCCTTTTGTGTTGCGACTCATGGGTTGAGAAACGCTAGTCTAAGGTATTTTATTTTATTGTACTGTATGAAGCAGAACTCTGGGATGCTGAGCCTTTGGTCCACCCAAAATCCAAAAAGATTTCAAATTACTTTATAAAGCAGCTTTCATCTCTACTCAATTCTACAGTGAGGGGAAGGGGGACTCAGGCATTCAGAAACCTGACTCATACATGTGAGCACCACCCTGCCTGCCACCTCAAGGAAATCAGCCCACTTCAACCTTTGTCTGTGTTTAATCTGCATACTATACACACAGAGCAGCTTTTTATACAAATAGACTTTTCCACCCAGGGGGACCCTTACATCTCTCAGTTCCCCTGTGCAAGATGAAATTTCTTTTCTATCTGGGAGACATTTTACAAATATTGGGGATTTTCCTTTGCCTGAAGACGGGCATTTGGGGCAGAAAGCTTGCAAATAAGGACATTTTTTGGCTACTGTTTAGTTAGCCTAATAAAAGATATTGCCTCTACCTCAAGAACTTTGTCTACCTTAGCTCAATTAAGATCTCAAAGATACTGGATGAATCTTAGATCTTTCACACCTACCAAATACCCTAAGAAATGCATTTTAGAAGTCTCTCCTTTGCCAGATAAACCCTTGTTTGGATAGTTAAACAATATCTATATTGGCCTGTAGACAAGTGGCCTGGGACATGTGCTAAGAGTCATTGATCCAACAAAACAAAATTTAAGAATTAAAGATGCCAGCATGCAGAGATTTGCTGTAGTAAGACCATCTCAAACTACCCCTTTTGCAAGATGAATAAAGCACTCCTTTGGCCTAGAAACCTACCTGTCTGTGGTACAAAATATGAGTTGCCATTACTAGATTTAAGATTCACTCTAATGAGATCTGCAACTGTCATGGGCAGGTGCTAGTGGATTCTATATTTGGACAGAGTACGTTCTTGCAGCAAGAATGATAGGTGACTTAAAAAAAAATAAATCACTATTTGTGGTTTTGTTTATTCCTTGAAGAAATAAGAGGAAAATGGCTCTCTCTAGTAATAAGACATCGTAAATACTGGGCTAACAAAGAAAAAACAAAATCTTGCTTCTTTAACAATTCAGAGCCTGCCATAAACTCCTTACGTGTACCTGCATTACTTTCACAAAGAATAGGGGCCACAATCAAATGGAATTCCTCTGCTTGTCTTATTATCTACTGCTTCATTTCAACTTTTCTTTTATACCACTACACAACATGTTCCGTTTAATTTACTGTAAACTGGTTAAATGGATGATCTTACCATACTTTTTCAGCAACTATGATAAATTATACACATGTTATTTTATTACATATATAATATTAATATTCATTTTATTGTATTGTTCTGGAAAAAGCTGTAAATAAACTACTCCTACTGCTTTCCCAAATTACTTGCCCAGTACTCCTCAGGCTGACTTTCATTTAGTAGAGACTGGGACTGAACATACCATTCAGTACATTGCAAATTACAGTCAAAGGCTCATAATGAAGTAGAAAATCTCTCTAGAAGCTTGCTTTTCTTACACATGGGTAAATTGTGCACAAAGTAAATTGTACACTACCAGGAACTATTAAAGGAAGATGCACACAGAAAATTTCAGAAGTACCCTCATGCAGCGATCTCTGTGGTTAAATCAAGAATGACACTGAAGGATTCTGAATTGATTCACATTCAATGCAGTTCAGCCACAAAAAGCTTGAGCAAAATAAGAAGCATTCAAAGCAAGGCATAATGGGAAAAGTGAATGATCATCTATAATTTAAGAAATCTTATTTGTGGGAGGAGAACATAAGAAATATAAAACCATAAGTTTAAAATACTAATTGATTTGTTTTAAATACAATCCTTTGATAACTTTCACTTGGCAGGAATTAGGTTACTTATGAGAGACCATTTCTCCCCATCCCAAGAATAAGTCTTCTCTAGTGGTGCCAAAGTGCATCTTCCCTCAATTAAAGATAAATAGAGAGACAATTAACACTGACTTACTGCTTCTGATTTGGGAGGCACTGGAGGTGGAGGTAGGGAAACATCTGAAGACTTTTTTGTTGTTGCTGCTAGAGTTCCAGGCATAGGAAGAGATGCATTACCACATTTTGACCAAAAAGAGCTTCTGTAATTGTCACATTTGTTCTTCTCACTTAGCGAACGAGTAAGAGGCTGATCACTAGGTTTCCCAGATCCCTGGTCCAGCCACAGTTCTTCATAAGGAAGTTCTGGTTTGGCAGGCAGACACATTGATTCTTCAGTAACTTCAGGAAAAAGATAGTCACTGCTACTGTCACCAGAGTCCTGATACTGAAGGGTGTCATGAGAAAAGAGGGCCCATTCATTGCACAAGTCCCTACACCCGTGAAGGTTCACTTCGCTATTTCCATGCAAATTGTTTCCGTAAACACAAACGGAGAGTCGGTGAAAAGACTGCGTTAGTTCATCCCGGGCATAGCTCAAAGAATTTGGCACATGATTGTGCCCAGTGCACCGACTTTTTTTAGGACTCTTACAATCTTCATTCCAGTCAGTTTTCACATCTCGCACTGCACGGGAATATTCGTCTATATCAAACTGTTCCTGGCAGATGTTAAACCAATGCTGGACCAGGGTATCATGCCATAGCTCCCCTTTCACAAGACTGTCCGGGAGGATGAATTTTGGAAGAGTCAAATGCAAGGGAAAATGCACTGGAATAACTTTGTTACCACGCAGAACACAACAAACTACAACAGTCTTTGTTTGAATGTTGACGAATTTGTACTTATGGCCCTCACGGATAAAATGCAGGTCATATGGGTTTCTTGGTGTGGGGCTTGGCACAGTTACATTGACTGGCAACCTTGTTTTTTCTACTATATTGCGAATTGTGTGCTCACCCTCTTGCATCTGTAACTCCAATGGACTGCGGGTGCTAAACCTGCCCTTACACTGGAAAGGAAGGCTTATACTTTCATTGGTCCTATGGTTCATGCAGATGAGGCATGGCATTTTACCTCTGCCTAGCTTACTGATAGAATTAAGTTTCCCAATTTTCTTGAAGATGGTGTTGAGTCGTGACTTTTCCTTAGAAGATTTTGCATACAGGATTTCTGCTTGTCCCATTAAAGTGAGCTCATCCCCAGTACTGAGGGTAATGTTGTAAACTTCTGTGTCTTCGTTGCATTCACCTGAAGCCACCTGAAATAGTAATACAGAAGTACACTTTTTATCCAGAGAAGATAACACCTCAATTCATATCAAATCTAGTTAGGCTGAATTAGATAGTGAGATGGAAAATAATATTTAGGAAAACAGTATAAGCTACTTTAGTTTGAATATCTTAGCGAAGCAAATACAAGTGATTTAGCATAAAAACCTAAGTTACATTTCTAGCAGGGATAACACATTCTTATGGTCTTGCTTGAGATAAAGTAGTCACATAGGGCATATGTAGATGAAACAGGGGCCCTAAATTGAAGCGGTGGGTTTTTAGAACACTGCTTCAATTTAGGGCAAAGTAAACCCCCATGTCGTGTACACCCGTCTTACATCTGCCTCTCTGGCGGTGGGGAGGGGAGGGCAAACTGCTGGTGAGCGGAGCGGTCCCTGGGCTGCGGAAGGGCTGGTGCTTCCCTGCGCGGCGGCAGCAGCACTGCCCCCCCAGTGGCACCTGCCCGAAGGCACCTGGCTCGGGTGGTCCTGGGAGGCACTGCAGCCATGGAGGGAAGGACTAGGTCCCCGCGCAGCTCATGCAGACAGGCAGGCTCCCAAGGAAAAAAGTAAGAGAGATCAGGCTCTCTCCTTTTTGGGTTTTTTTCCCCGTCTTCAGTGGAGCCTGCTTTCCCGGGCTGCTGCCAGGCTGCCTGCACAGTCCCTGAGCCGCACAGAGCCTGGTGCTTCGCTCCACAGATATAGGGCAGCAAACTAAAACTCCTTGGAGCTGTTTTAGTTTGCTGTGCCCCAAAGTCATTTAAGGCGCATTACGCCGCTGAATGTGCCACAGCGGCTGGAATTAATACGCAATATGCCGCCAACACATGCAAACACCAACACCATTAAAGCGGTGCAAAAGCATTGATCCTGCTTTAAAGTATCGTGCACACACACCCCTTGTTTCATCTACACATGTCCCTAAAACTTATTTAGCTTGCAAAAAGAATGAAAATACATGCGAGTAATTTATAAGAAAGAAACAATATTCCACCAAATTCAACAACAATCTGAAAATTGTAGAGTAGATTTGAGCGGTGCTGTTTCTCCTGGATATTCAGCCATCCATCTCTCTTGCTTCTGCTGCTTTCTGACACTTACCTACAATATTCTTGAATACAGAAGGGGCAAAGATTATCTATTCCCAGCAGGTTCCCTCTTTAGGAATCAAAAAAAACCCTCTTATTGCTCCTCTCTCTTGTCATCAGGAAGTAAATATATCCCCCCTCAGCCCCTTCTGAAAAGGAGAGGGGAAGGATTAGATAACACCAGTACAGGCATACTGGTTATTTCTTACTACAGAACTTTAGGAATCAAAAAAAACCCTCTTATTGCTCCTCTCTCTTGTCATCAGGAAGTAAATATATCCCCCCTCAGCCCCTTCTGAAAAGGAGAGGGGAAGGATTAGATAACACCAGTACAGGCATACTGGTTATTTCTTACTACAGAACTTGTACTTAAAAGGGGGGGGGGGGGGGGGGGGGAAGGATGCCTAAGGCTTGAATGCTCCTGAAGTCATTCCCATAAAACCACTGAATTCACACACTAACATCTATTTTAGATACCCATTCCATCTCCCTTATGTCTAGCTAGTGTAACAAAATACCTTCCCTTCAATGTGGTAACAGAGCTTGCAGGATCAAAACACCTTTCACAAAGTAAGGTGTTTTAAGCAAATACCACAAGCCTATTACAGATATCTGCACTATGCAGCAGACTCTCAATAGCAGGCACACTAAGCAGGGATTTCACATTTTTAAGCTATGCAAAAATAGCTTTTCCTTACCAAAAGTCCCAGTTCATGTGCACAGTAAAGTTTTAAATTCCAAATTCTGAAATCTGGCAAATAGCTGCTATATAAAAATCATGAAAACAACTTCCTAACCTTTTTTTGTCATCTCTATCTGTCAAATAAGTGAGAGATGCTTTCAGTAATTGCTATTCCCCTTGAAAGAAAATCTGCAATTTGTCCATGTTTGTAAAGGTGCTTCTGTAGGTCTTTGGGAGCAAGTATGCACAACGTGTTCAGTATAAGCATGAAGGCTACAGGTTTCAGTTTCAGTGTTTCCTGAGAGGAAGTTATTCAAGTGCTGTGTTATCTAAACAACACTAATCAGTCTAATCCAGGAAACTGCCAGGATTTTATTGTACATAATAGTCATTCACAGTTTACACTAGCAGTCAGGAAACATTTTGAACCATTGACATAAAAGTGTTCAGTCTTCTGCTGACTGAGGTGCCATAAATTCATTACAAATTGATGTTGGAAACCAATTACACAAGGATTCAGGATTAAATGACTGGACACAGTTCTGAATTCAGTGAAGTTGGTAGGAGTTAAGAGTACTTTGTAGCTAGAGGTACCCTATAGCTTTTTTTTTCTTTTTAAACATTCACACAGAAAATGAATTCTAATTCCCACAGAATTGCATAGCAATATATATTGTTTGTTTTGAAGAGGCAAGGCATATAATGAGAAACTGAAGACTTGGAAAGATAACTATTATCTTCCAGCGTGTTTTTTTAAAGCACCAATGGGAGTAAGGGAGGCTGTTGTTATCTACATTTGCTAAATTGTTACTTCGATAACCTGTTCCCTAGAGACGTACAAACAAATAATTGAGGATACCAGGAAATATTTCACCTATATCATGAGACTAAGGTAATTAACCCCTCTGGCTTCTCCATGAAGAAATACTATTATGGATCTGATGAAGTGCATACTTATTTTTTAGTGATGCCAGGTTCATTTCTTAAGAGAAAAAAAAAGTAGAGTTTAAAATGACCAGCAGTGAAAAGATTATTAAATTGGGCAGGCAGGTCCATTTCTTTAAAAGAAAATTAAATCTTTAAACTGAGACACTTAGAAGCAACCGTTCCATAGCTTTACTGCATACATGCACATGGCTGATCTAGTATTTAAAACTGAATTGGAATAAGAACATAAAATTGTTAAAACGGTAGGAAAAATAAATTATGCCTGGGCTCAAGCCTGGCACTGACTGAGTAAAATATTAGTATACGAGCTTCGTTTTGAAAGTAAAATACAGGAGGGATCAATTGTAGTCCAAGACTATCATAAAATAAATCAATCACTCACATGTTTTAGCTAAAGAAAGCGAATCAAATGTTGAAATCATACTTGAAACCAGGTCCTACTTCATTTATCAGTCATCAAATGCACTCAAGAGTCTCATCTACCTTGCTCAAGCCTCTGAAAAACTGTTAATAGAAAAGGCAGGTGGGTCCTCTTCCTCAATGCTGCTTTTTTGTGACTTAGTTGTAAGTTTAATGTGTCAGCAGGGTAGAATAGTAGATGCGTTAGTGGAATTTCAGGGACTCAAGCAAGGTGGAATAGGATCTGGCCTTTGGATTCTGTCCACAGAACAACTTATTAAGGTGAAGTTAAAAGCTGCTGGCAGGTTTCAGTGGGCTGAGTGCAACTCCACCACTGGAGTTTGGGTTCTCAAGTCTCTGCTTCTTCTATGCCTACACTTAATTTGTTTGATTTGTTTAAAATACATCAATTTATTTACATATATTCTACTTTAAGAAACATGGAAACGTGTTCTGGGATACACACATCTATTGTTAGTTAAACTGGCTGCACTTACATGAGACACTTCTATGTAACGGTTACTGTGCATTTATTTAGCACCTGAATAAACACTAAACAAGTACTAAACGAATGTACAGTAACCGGTTAGTGCCGAACGCTGTTCCTGTGATGCTACTGTGCAGTACTGTCACTTCCCTGTTTTTGCCACGTAACACTACTGCACAATAGTATCCGGCTACTGGACAGTCAGCATCTCATGTAGATGTGCCCACTGACTAACAAAACCCATGTCCTACTTGCTATATCATTTACTATTGCATTAAAACTAAGTTAGTATGAAAAAACCCCACAAGTTAGAATTCAGAAGTAGACTTATCTTTCAGGCTAAAATTCTCAACTAGAAGTGGCAAAATTACCTGGACTCTGTCCCTGTAGCAACATTCTGGGAAAAGCACACAACCTTATTCACAAGTATGTCGTATAATCTGTGACTATGGAACTATAATACTTTATCTTTAATCCTATAGGGTACCTGGACACAAGCGGGGAGGCTGCTCTGATGCGCTACAAGTAGAGTGCGTCAGAGCAGACTTGATTAATTGAGTCTGCTGGAACATGGTAATTATCATGCTCCAGTAGCCTCCTGCATCTCGTGTACCAGCATCCCCATACTTAAAAATGGCAGCAGGAGCACTTGAACTAAAGATAACTGAATGAGCTTTAGCTCAAGCGCCACCACAACTACTTTAATGCATGGGGACACTGATATACGAGATGCTGCAGCACTTTAATTAGAGTGGCTCTCGGAGCCGCTCTAATTCAAAAGTGCCACCTCCCAACTCTGGAGTACATGGAAAAGTGCCCATAGAGCTTGCGGCTTCTTTATGGTCTTCTTTATCATTACATACACATAGAATAATCTTCTATGCATCACTGGATCCAGCTAGCTTTCAATATAATACGGCATCACATGCAGATCACGACAGGAGCAGATTACACAAAACAAGCCAGGCTCCTATGATGACAACACAAAACACTTAAAAGATACAAAACAAGTTATAAAAGCCAGAATATACTATACTCTACATGTGGAGAGTAACCTAGTGTCTGTATGGGAACAGTAGCATGTACTCTAGGCTACTTTTACTCTCTCTCACTATCATGCCCTCTAAGGTCTGACACCTTGTTAAATACATTTCACAATTCTGCTGAAAACTGTAATAATCCAGAGAATGCAGAAAGAATAAACTCAGAGCTGCAATATCATTATCATATTTACTTGATAGTAAGACAACCCTCCTCCCCATTTAACACTGGGGGAAGCCCCTCATTTTTTAATCGAGTGCAAGGGTGGTGTGGTCCTGGTGGCTGTTGTGGTTCGGGCTGTGATTGGCGTTGTAGCCGCAGCTGCAACCTACCACACCCTGTC